TTCTTCCTGGTTCTTGACATTTGTGCCTTTGCCTTATCCTGATATGTACTCCTATTTCCTGACTTCAGCCAGTTCTTTGAGTATGACCTTTTCTCTAACTTCATTACTGGACTTAGGACTCTGCATTTCCTCAAGTTCTGTTGCTCCACTGCCTCCAACTTGACTTCTACTGCCCACATCCAGACCCTGACACAAAGATTAGGGTAACTATGGATACCCTAACTATGGATAGTAACCAATGCAGTCACAGCACTAGCACTTATGATGTTGCATTAGGATAAACTATGAAAATCTGATGTCACCAATGCTTAGGCAAAAGAGAAAAGGAATGATTTGCCAGGATTTTTGGCAGTGTGGCTCAGCCACTGAATAACAGAAAAAAATCATCCTTTTCCCCCTTTGCCTAAGTGCTAAGGAAGTTGCACTAGCATTCATTTATACTAGTGTTGTGACAGCATTGGATACTATCCTATGTATCCTATTGTAGAGATGACAATCCTCTGTTTGAAAGTGTCTGTCCAGTCAACAAGGGGAGAACAAGGCCTTGGATCATCCACTGTTCACAGCTAGAGAACAAACTGAACTGATAAACATCAGTTTTCTTAATTATGGTAAAATGCATTTCTACTTACAATCAGCATTTCTGTGTGTGTGTGTTAACATTTACAATTTAGATGCAAACATGTGTCTTCCTTTTGTTTGTTGCTGCATTTCTTCTTTGTGACAGTGGTTAAGTAATCCCCTTACGCCCACTGGGTCTGTTTCTGTTAAAGCTCCATGCATTCAGCATGCATGGTAAACCTATGAATGAACCCTACATGCATACAGACTGTACACAGATTCTGTTCACAGGTTTGAAAGAAGGTATAGAAGTCACGGGTATAGCACTGTCAGACACACCAGCCTCACCACACACACATTCATTCCACAGGGATGAAGGCAGGAACACCGTTCTGCTTAGATTGCGGGGTTTCTGACCAGAAAGTGAAACATATCAATGTAACATAGCATCTGAGAATGTAAACAGTGATTTGCATCATTGTCTCTAGAACACTTGGCAGCTCAGTGCACTACATACAGAAGGTCGTAGGTTCATTCTCTTGTACCCCCAGGCTTTGTTTTTGTTTATTTCTTGGATCAGAGAACAGGTAATGGGACTAAAACTCCATCTCAGACCCTACAGAGCTACCAATCAAGACACTAACAGGCTATTCTGGTATAAAGTGGTTTGCTGTATTAATACAGGGACTTTGTTACTAACAACTGGAATATGGGCAAGTTGGAAAGCTTGCTAAACCCTGAGTTTCACAAAAGGTAGATAATTCAGTTAAACATGTAGAGATAGAGATATATAGAGAGAGGACCTATATGACATAACATAATAAATACCTATGTCTATCAGTAGGGGATCCATATTCTGGTATGGTTTTAAGACTTTTCCTGGATTGGCCCTTCTTCAGTCAGTTGTATTTCTTTGTGTAACGTGTCACAATAGTTCTGAACCACAGGGCTAACAGGCCCAGGTACCACTTGTGTCTGCAGCAGTAAAAACTTTTTGTGACCTAACTTAATCTGTTGAGTAAAGCAGAGCAAAATAACAAAACAGACTGCCTGGGTTTTGAGGCTTAAAGCACTTTTCTAGTACAGTGGGTGCGCAAGGAGCAGAAAGAATGCAAGGCAGCATTTCTTGACATATTCTGCAAGCAATAAAGCCCAGGCATGTGAACTCTGAGTATGGGTGCAAATTATGCACCATGTTGATAAAAATAGGGCTGTCATTCTATTTTTATAAGGGGAAAAAAATAATTTGAATTGTACTCACTCTGTGAATGCCCTGATTATTCTTGGAAATTCATTGGAAAAAAAACATTTTGTTCCCTGTCCCAAATGAGCATTGTCAGTATTGTTGTGCACTATTCAAAGGCCACCTGCTGATTTTCCAGATGCAGCTGCATTTTATGGGTTGGGGAAAGAAACCCGCAGTACCTTCTTACAGCCAGGATGAGAGGCTTATATACAGTTCATAAGATTCCATAAAGTTTTCTCAGCATCTTGCTTGAATTACTGATTTAATTTAGAGAACTTGTTCATTACATAGGATTTACAATTTGCTTCCCATTTTTTTCCAGAAATACTAATGTAGGCATGCTTAAAATAAAATACAGTTATGTCTTTTGTACATCAGGGCCCTGGAGGGTGTGCTTTTATAAATATGCCATACTATTGGCTCCTACTTAGTCTATTACCTCTCTATAGGAAACTTTTGGTTCATGAACCAAGTTCTGTTTTCACCATCATTTTTTTTTAAATTTAGTCTCTATAGGTATATAACATTACTTCAGTTATATTTCTGCCTATCAGAGCAACTCCACATTATAGCATAAACCCCCCTTTTATTAGGCAATGTGGTCTCCAACATTTACATTTAAAAATTGCAAGTGGCAGATGCTGCTCCATCTCATATTTCTTGTTACTGCTTTCATGTTGGGATAAGACAGGTGATCCACCAGCAGAACAGCAGGAAGTAGGAGTAGCACTCCAGGATGCTCCAGGGACCAGCTATAGGCATGGCCCCTCTGCAGGGTGCGGGATTTCCCAAGTACCTGGGTGAACTCCTGATATCAGCACTGTACCTTAAGCATCTATTTTGGAAGTCTGCTCAACTAAAACCAGCAAGGCTACCTTCCAAATCATAATTGAAGGGGGTAGAAATACGGTTTTAGCCATCATGAGACTAATTTGGAAAACATAGCTTACTGGCACCATCACTTTTTTCCTGATACATGTTTTTTGCTTAAACATTATAAATTTCTCCCCTAAATCATTGTAAAGTTTATTGCATATGCGTTCAATAGCATCACATAAATGAAATGTGATTCTCCCTATGCAGGAACACAATAATCTAAAAAGGAAATGGTTTGGCACTGTTTCTTCTTTCTCCCCAAAGAGCTACAAACAACATCAGTTTCAAGGAGGGATGCATGAAATCAGCACTGGCCTTTCAGCATTCAGTAGCTATGCTATTGTTTCTACAATATTGTGCTCTGAACATTCCAATAATAAATCCACAAGGCATTCACTTTTCAGAAAAGCATCTTTTATATAAAGGCCCTCTACCAGACAGCTGAATAAACATCATGCAGATCTCACAGCCTCCATGTTTTTAGAACAGCTCTAATACTTCTTTGTTCAAGTGGCCTTTCATGGCCAATTCCCAAAGTTATTCTACTTTTCATACATGTTTGGTCACCTGTCTTTGGGGAAAAGGTACCTGTAAAGTGTCAAGGTGCATGTTATATTTCAGAAGTGATAGCATCACAAATTTAGGAGCTATATCTTAAGATTCAAGATAGGACTGTGTAAAACTGCTTTCTTGAATTCTTTTTATGAAAAACTAAAAACTTCCAGACTGCTAATTTATTGTTTTGCAAGGACTCAGATTGATTTGAAATGAGTTTTGAGGGGTTTGCACACATTTTTGATTCCCATTAACCTTTGTAAACATGTTTCCACAGCACACTATATTATAAAACAGAATACACATATGCAATATTTGTGTAAGACCCCTTCTTATCCTTTTTCTTTTTTCTTCTTCTGTATTCTACTTTTTATAAAAATAATAATAAAAAAGAAAATATTATGAGCACTGCAGATGCAACATGGTTTAAGTCATTTCCTACCCCAGGTTTTGGAGGATCCTTGATTGAGACTCTTCCCGTTAGTCTTTGTTCCCATCAGCTACTATTGTTTCTACTCATTTCCTTCTCATCATTGCTACCACTTGCTTTCTTGGAAGGCATTGAGCCAGGGAGTAATTAGGCAGTGGCATCTACTTCCCCTCCTTTTCATCATGACCGTTGTCTGGGTGAGATTGAGAGGCAGATGAACCAGAAGATTCCAAGAGTAGAGGAGAGGCAACTCCAAGAGGTCTTGCCAGTGATCCCCTGCTGGCATATAGGTTCTTGGCAGGTCCCCCACCGTGCCTCCTCTTGACACTGGCTCTGCTGGAAACTGCAGATGTTGTGTAGTCAGTGTGGATTCCATTTCACAACAGCTGAATCTTAATACCTTTGGCAAATGACAATTCCCACGATTTTTTCAAGGAAGCCCTGACATCATAATCTTCAATAAAACTAACCTAAGACTGACATGTAGATGCTTGTTTATTTACTTTGAATGTTTCTTATCACACTCTTCAGCCCAGAGGATTCTCAGAGTGGCTTACAAGAAAATTCTGGGACTTATTTTAATAGTAAAACACAATGCATAACCAGAAAGAAGCAAAGTAGGTATCTCTAAATATAAACCACCTAAGGAAAAAAAAAACATTTATTTTTCTTCCTGGTGCAAAAAAAGAAAAAGATCTCAAACATGGTACCATGTGAGTTCCACCATGCAGACCTTGTCTCCAGTCACCTATGCCTTGCTTGCAAGAGCAGTAGGTTTCAAAGAAGGGTCTCTGAGGCTGACCCTAATACAGAGGTAAACTTTCATAAACAAAGATGCATAAGCCACTTAGGATCTAAAGGTTAAAACATTTCAGATTGTGCTCAGAAATGGACCAGGGGCTAACGTGTTTTAAAATGTCAATATACATTCAATTTTCTCAGGCCTAACCAGTAATCTAAGTGCCCCGTGAAATCTATATCTAAACAAGATGCTACTAGAACATGATAGCTGTGGCCAAGCTATTTCTGTCTAGGACAGGCCATAGCTGATGCTCCTTGTTCACCTTCTGTTCATGTCACAGAAGCCAACTGAGACTCCAAAAACAAGTCAGTCTCAAACGGCATTCCCAGGCTTTCAGCCTTATCCTTTAAGAGAAGAGCAATTGATCCAGAATGGTCTGTAACCACCTCCAAGGGCACCCAAAACATTCACCATTTAAAGGGCAACTTTGTTATCTACCCCTACCCCGAAATAAATTAGATGAAATATTGTTCTTCTTCCCACATGTTTAACATAACTTTTTTCTCTTTCACCCCACCTATCTTCCAAAGGTTTACGTGGTGCAATAGCATTTGCACTGGCTATACGGGACACAGAATCTCAGCCCAAACAAATGATGTTTACTACCACCCTACTAATTGTGTTCTTCACAGTCTGGGTGTTTGGAGGAGGCACCACACCAATGCTTGCATGGCTCCAAATCAGGTCAGTCATTGCCATTTGTTCATAACCTAATGTTGAAAAGCAATTGCATTGTTCATCCACTGCCCATGTTACATCTTTCTCTTATCATTTTCTTTTGTTTTGATTTATAACTGTTACAAAGGGTGCAGCACCTGGTTTTAGTTTAGAAAAAACACCTTTTTAGTTTAGAAAAAACACCTTTCAGTCAGTCCGAGCAAATATATATATAACCTTGACAGCGCAATGACAGGCCATATGAAAGCTCGGACGAGCCGTGGCTAATGAGCTCATAATGTCATCGCGTGGCACCGCTACTCCTTTCCGAGCATGCACATGGCCCTTGTGTGCTGTTATCTGATGCTTGGCTGCTGGGGCGATGCTGGGGAAACTTGGCTCACGTGCCGACAGAGAGGGCTCTGTGTGCCTGCTGTGGTGCAGGTGCCATAGGTTCGCCAGCACTGACCTATGCTATTAGGTTAACATTTTTTTCTTATACCCTTGTGAATATTGTTGCTCAGGTGTAGTTGCATTATTTTTAATTGTTTAACTTAATAACTGTAAATTTAAACTGTCATTTTGCTCTGGGCTTTAATGAATGCTGTCTTTCTGAAGAGGTTTTCCATGCTGGTGACTTTGTATTATTCATTTGTTGTAAATTTTGAACGATTTGCATAGACATGATGTTCAGAATGACTTTTCTGATTATAAATTATTTTCCTTTGTTGTTTAGTCAAAAGAAATCTAGCTTTCTTATAAAAGAAATGTCAGTGTGTTAAATAAAATATTATCTAGATTGAGAATGAGAGCAATGAATCAATTGCCTTTAAGCAATGATAGTGCCACATCAGCAGTACCGTTTTGCACCTTTACATTGCTTTAATGTTGCAGTTAAGAGCATGTGCTATGAGTAAGAAGCCCTTAGTTTAAAGTTGAGCTGATCTGATAAACTGATTCATTGGCCTTAAATAAACTGCTGTCTCTTGGCCTTCACTCTGGATGCATGGTAGAGCTATTTAAGTATTGGCATGATGTACAGGATGTACACTGGGCATTTTGGAAAGCTGTTTCATAAACATTACTGCAATATTATTCTGACAACTGACTATTGTTTACAGTTGGTTGGCTTCTAGCACTATCAATCAAAAAATGGAGGGATTTTTTGTGATAAAATGGCAGACGTTGTGGTAAAACATGGGAGGGTTACAAGCAAAAGCCAATGATGTCTAAACTTCCACTAAAATTCCATGAAAGTGGCAGGGTAACTGCACAATAAAACCTGATCTGGAAGCACCCAATGTTTGCAGCATTGTTCTTAAAGGCACTGACTGACTAGGGACCATTCAGGCAAAAAGAAATACTATCTACTGGAATTATATCTGTGTTCTGCTTGTTTCTTTGACTCCAGATATGTTTTTCCCTTTGAAGTGACCCCAGCTAGAGAATGACTTAGGTCATAATCTAATGCATGTGTTTAGACAGAAAAAAGTCCTACCACTCCCAGCATGTCCAAGCTAGCATGGCTACCTGGGAAATGCTGGGATTGGTGGGACATTTTTCAATAGAAAAATGCATATGATTTCATCCCTATTCTTTATACATCCCCTTCCTGAATGGTACATTGAACTCTAAGCCAGTCTCTCTGGCTCCCTTATCTTGGAGGCAACTGAGCTTTGTTCTGCCTTAGTTGTCTGAGGCCGAATCATGGTATCTCTAGCGAATCCAGAATGTCAGAAGCTGCCACCTTTAGAAATACTGCTCCCATTCAAAAGACATCAGGTAGTTTCTCTATGAAGAAAACCTGAAGGTTTTGTTAGGCATCAGATGAACTTACTCTGATATGCACTTCTGCCATAACAGAGAAGGCGGCAGTTACCTGAGGCATTTTATTAATCAGGACAAATATTTAGCAGTGTTGTTCTTGCTCTCCCTGCATGACGCCCTTGCAACAGAGACAGTAAAAATTATTTAAATATTTTGAATTACTCTCACCTCGGCCTTCCAGAGGAATTACTCTCACCTGAGGGACTGCAGGTGGCGCAGTGGTTTAAACCGCTGTGCTGCTGGGCTGGTTGATCAAAAGGTTGCACAATGGGGTGAGTTCCCGTTGCTCTGTCCCAGCTCCTGCCAACCTTGCAGTTCAAAAGCATGCAAATGCAAGTAGATAAAAAGGTACCACTTCGGTGGGCAGGTAAGAGTGTTCCGTGCACTTTGATGTTTAGTCATGCCGGCCACATGACCACGGAGACTGTCTGCGGACAAACGCTGGCTCCCTCAGCTAGGAAACGGAGATGAACACCACCCCCTAGAGTCGGGCATGACTGGACTTAATGTCAAGGGGAAACCTTTACCTTTACCTTAGGCCTTCCAGGATTCCAACCAAAAGTGCTCCTCCAACTCAGCCAGGAAAGCTGCCAGCATCCTTCATGTCATCTCTCAAATCATGGATAATTTAATAATACTGAAGGGCCTAATACAGACCAATCTCCCCTTCATTTGCTGAAGCTCATATAAAAAGGCATGTGTGGTCACATAATGAAACCATAGCTTTATTGGTATCCAGTGAGCTGACAAAATCCTGTGTTCCATAGTATCAAATATAACCACATCCTGGGAATTCTGTTGTATTAATATTGAAAAACAATGTATGGTAGGGTAGCTATATGTCTCCAATGAAACACATATATATTCTCTCTAAACCAACCAGACAGCTTAGGCTATTGGGCAGTACAGAAACATTATTGGTGAAATGTAATAAATGAAAATGAAATGGCCCATTAACAAGAAAATCAAGGCAAAGTTCCCTTAAGGAGTAAAACTGGCTTGAGCAAAAGCTGGATGTAATTGATTTGGCATTGTCAAATCTCCTCTGAATTCCATTGGAAACAGGGAAGTGTTTGTGATTAAGTGTAAATGCCCTTCCCTCCATAAACTCTCCCCACTCCTCCTCCTCCTTTATGTTTGCACTGGTATCAAGTAATTGTTGTTACAGAAGATCTAGTGCCATTGCAATATTTTTTTTATTTTATTTCTGTACTTCTCAATAGCCAAGGCTCTCTGAATGGTTCAGTGATTTTTTGAAGTACAATAAAAAGATACAATAAATATGCATGTACAATAAAATACAATATAAAATATAAAATTCCAGTACACAGATTAAAAACAGTCTAAAATTCCAAAATACAAAATTGAAAACACTTTAAACATCTAAAACCATTTCAATAAAACTGGATGTAATTAAAGCAGCTGACATAACCCGTCATATGCCATTAAATGCCTGTGAGTAGAGGGCAGTTTTACATTATGACTATATGGCACCAGGTGGGTCTCAGTGGGGAGATCATTCCTTTATGGGGGGGGGGGGGTCATCACTGGGAAAGCCCTCCTCCTTGTTGGCTTTTTTCAGGCCCTAGCAATGATACTAAGTGTGAAGAAGCTACATATTTCAAATAATCAGACTATTATATAGTCCAGTCTTTCCAGAGCTGCTCTCTTCTAGATACTTTTGGACTACAAGTTCCAGAATTCCTGATTATTAGACATGTTGATGGGGCTGATGGGTGTTGAAATCTAAAACATCTAGAGGTCACTAAGTTGAGAAAAGCTGATATGCTAGTATGAATGATCTCCAAGATTTGACAGTGCATGTCAAGTAAAAATGAGGACAAGGACGAAAGGAAGAGAGCAAATAATTTTGCTTCATTTTGTTTACTCCTAGTTGCAAAAGCATGCATATTCAATCAGAAATGTAACATTCGATTTGACTGAGCTTGTATTAGAGTTTTGCATACTCTGAATACCACATTTTTAGTACTTGCTTCAGCAGATGGGACATACTTAAGAAGCATGGATCATATTTTAACCACCTGAGCTCATTTAACTTAGTGGGTTTGAATAGACAGGACAATCATAACTTAATTTCGTCTAGTGAGCAATCTGATGTTCTATCAATTATTTATTATTTTTTAAAAACATTTATACCACATCTATACTAAAATAGGTCTCAAAACATCTTACAACAGTAACGGTGCTATTAAAATACAATATAAAATTCCCCTCTTAAAATACCATCAAACCTTAAAATAGTGGGTGAATATAAAGGTTTGGCCTGGTGCTGAAAAAAATAAAGCATCAGTTCCACGTGTACCTCTCTGGGAAACAGGTTTCAGAGCCAGGGTGCTACCACAGAAAAGGCCCTTCTCTGGATAGCCACTCTTCTAACCTCCTTCAAAGAGTGCTCCAGAAGAAGGACCTCAGTAGGAAATCTTAAGGCTCAAGCATGTGTATATGGAGGGAGATGCTCCTTCAGATATCCAAGCCCTAAACTGTTTAGGGCTTCATATGTCAAAGTCAACACCTCAAATTGGGCCCAGACTTCAATCAGTAGCCATTCCAGATGGTACAAGACCAGTGTTATATGGTCACACCTGCTGGTCCCTGTCAATAGCCTGGCTGCTCTATTTTGTATCAACTGAACTATCTGTACCATCAAGGGTAGCCCCATGCACTACAATAGTCCAAATGGGAGGTTACCGGAACAGAGGCTACTGTTGCTAGACTCTGCTTATCCAGGTAAGGACATAGTTGATGGACCAGCCAAAGATGGTCGAAAGTGCTCCTCACCACAGCAGTCACTTGGAATTTCAGAGATAGCTCTGGGTTGAGGCCCACTCCCAAACTATGCACTAAGCTGGATTAGATGTAAAAGAGAGGTAGAGCTGGGTATCATCAGCATACTGGTTTCACCTCAGCCCCAAACCTCCAGATGACCTCTCCCAGCAGTTTCATGTAGATGTTGAATAGCATGGGCAATAAAATGGAACCCTGCAGAACTCCATGGCATAATTTCCATGGTGCAGAACCATATTGTAAGTATTGGCATGTGACTTATTGACCTCAAAATTGACCTTATTCTAGAAATCGCATGTGACTTATTGACCTCACAACCATGATGCTATGGGAATGACCATCAGTGTTGCTGCATTGTCTTTTATTTCTACATCTCTTATATTTTACTTTCTTGT